TTCTCTCCGATAATGAATGCAATGTTATTTCTCTTCAATTTGTCACTCCCTGCATAGTAAATCATGTGATTGCCAAATTCAAAATGGTCAATATCAGTTTATTTCAGCTCACTAATGCCAAGGATAGGAGCTCTGGTAGTGTAGTGGTTATGAATCAATCGGGCTGCGAACCTTAAGGTCAGCAGTTCTCAACTACCAGCTGCTCCATGGGAGAAAGATGAGGCTTTCTGCTCCCATAAAGATTTACAGCCTCAGAAACCCTGTACAGGGTCGCTATGGGTCGGAACCGACTCAAAGGCATTTAACAACAATGCTAAGGATATCGATGTTTATACATTCCATTTCATTTTTTTACAACTTACAATTTTTCTAGATTCGTACTTCATACATTCCATGTTTCAATTATGAATGAATGGATCTTTGCAGCTGTCTTTTCTCACCCTGAGTTAGGCCCAACAACAAATGAAAGTTCCCAAAGCTTTCCTCCACTCATGCCGTCACAGTCAACTCTACTTTGAGGCAGCTCTTCCCCAGGTGTTTCGTGCTTATTCTACAGAGCCGCCATGCTGGTGGTTTGCAGTGGAGTCAGTTCCAACTCAGTAACAACCCTATCAAACATTTCTGAGGCTGTACATCTTTATGGAAACAGAAAGCCTCATCTTTCTCCCGGGGTGAGATGCTCACATTTTGTCTTTAGACATCCTTTACTGCAGAGCTCAAGTCACCACTGCTGTGACCTTTCAGAAGATTGTCAGCCTGTCTTCTAAGGTACCTTTGGGTAGATTCAAACCACCAACCTTTTGGCTAGTAGTCAAACATGTAATTATTTGCACATCCTCTTCTCCACCCCTTCCCAATGCCCAGGGAATGCTAGAACCCAAGTAGTGTTGCGTGATTACTTGTCTTGAAGTTCCTTGTTTTCTTCTGTGGTGTCTACCTGTGTGTTTATGCATGATTATCACAGACTGGATTTCTTTCACTCTCCACCACAGAATGTGTTGTATGGAATTCTTATTGTCTTGAAATTTATAAGAAATTACAATACTCTTACCCTAATCCGGACCAATGGAGTCCTGGTGTGGTGTTGTGGGTTAATGCTCTGGCTGGACTGCAAAGTCGGTTTGAACTACAGGTTCAACCACTCCTCAGAAACCCTATACAATGTCGCTATGGGTCGGAACCAACTCGACAGCACTAACAATCGGGACCAATAATTTTCTAGAAATTTATTGCCTGATATTTCCCTCCACCACTCTTGTGTTGCAAATCTACCATTTCTTTTGAACCTCTCATTTTGTGGGCATATATGATGTTGTAGATTAAGCACAGGACCACAAGGTCAGTTTGAACCAAAGTCGGCAGTTCATTCATGAGCCACTCTTTGGAAACCATCTACAGGATCACTGAGTCAGAACCAAGTGGATGGCACGAACCACCACCCTGTTAACTTCCTATAAAGGTTTTAAGATTTTCTTTCAAAACGTTTGTCTCTTCTACCTTCACAATTTCTCGAATGTTTCTAACAGAAAGATTTCAGGTTATCTTACAAGATTGCGAAAACAAACAGTGTCTTTCCTTTCTCAAGCGTCTAGTTATAGTTGTATTTTTGTACTTTTCTCTCTCCTTGTGCTTCACTCTGGATACTTTTTCCTGAGGTCTCATGATTCTGCTGAGTGTCATTGGCTATGAAATCCACCTACTCAATTCTTACTCATTAAAAAGCAGTACCTGAAAGACTGGAGTCCTTTCAGTACCTAAAAGAGAATTAATGCACTAGACTGAAAGGTCAGAACTATAAGATCCATGGTTCAAGCTCACCAGCTGCTTCTCAGAAACCCTACACAGGGTGGCTATGAGTTGGAGCTGACTTGAAGGCACTTAATCCGAAAGATTAAAGCATCAAGGTTTCAGAAGGTGTAGCAGCCTCCAGGGCCGAGTGGCCTTAATTGGGACCCCGAGTCAAGATCTAGGAATAAGACCATAACTGAAATAGACCAGGCCCAAGAAAGCCTGAAACTAGGATTTAGGGGATGTACCTGCTAACAGAAAATGCTTGATGATTTTTTAGTATACAGTGCTTGTCATCTACTCCTATAAATTACCAGGCATACTAGAATGCTTGTTGTTAAGTGCCGTTGAGTCGGTTCCGACCCATAGTGACCCTGTACAGGGTTTCCGAGGGTGTAAATCCTTACGGGAGTAGAAAGCCTTATCTTTCTCCCACGGAGCAGCTGGTAGTTTCGAACCGCTGACCGTAAGGTTCGCAGCCCGATTCGTAACCACTACGCTACTAGAATGCTAGAGGACTTAAATACTAAAGATCAAGAGAAAAAGATATTAGTTATCTTTTATGTTCACAAAAGAAGAGGTTTGAGCCATCAAACTTGTGGCTAACACTCCAGTGCTTAACCTACAGCGCCACACCAGTTTCCAGCAACTCAGGAGCTGGCAAAACTTGAGTGAAGATGGCATGTTGACTTAGGGGCTCAGTTCCTTCTCACCGGGAAATGGAGGACCATGTGGAGTCTATTCCCAAGCTAAATTGGTCCACTCCCTCACAGAAAACGCCAGAGGAAGGAAGACGTTGTCCTTCTCTCCAGGATCACAACCACTCAAGTCTGACCTACATGGGCTGCTCTCTTACTACCTGTGGCACGTTTTGATCATCTCTTTTGTCCACCCTATATAATTGGTCTGCCATGCTAGTTCACCAGACTACCCTTCGGTCACTATCAGACATCCACTTACAGCATCTGGGATATCTCTGAGAATCTCCAAATGGAGAAATACTCTTATTCCCTGAATTGGTTCTTTCAGGACCTCATAGCTTCTTGTGGCAAGATTTTCTCAAATGCCTCTGGACTCTTGATTGTATGTTTCAAGGCTGAGGCGGTTGAAAGACATACTAGAATCGATGTCAGATTTAACTGGCAGACTTGAGTTATAGGGCAGGAAGTTGTAAACGACCAATGTGGCCTTACCTGTGTCTAAGCAGCAAATGCCTGTGCATTGAGTGCACTTAGTGCTAGGATAGGCTTTTTATTAATGTTCAGTGTCCTGGAATTGCAGTCTTCAGGCATCTGTTGTTCTTGTTAGGTACCATCAAGTCGGTACCGACTCATAGCAACCTTATGCACAGAACAAAACACTGTCCGATCTGGGCCAACCTCACTACTGTTGCTACGCTTGAGTCCATTGATGCTGCCACTTGACCAATCCATCTCGTTGAGGGTCTTCCTCTCATCCTGACCCTCCACCTTACCAAACATGATATCCTTCTCCAGCAACTGGTCCCTCCTGACAATATGTCTGAAGTATGAGAGATGAAGTTTGGCCATCTTGGCCTCCCAGGAGCACTCTGGCTGAACTTCCAAAATGGATCTCTTGGTTCTTTTGGCAGCCCACGGCACTTTCAATATTTTCCAACACCGTAACTCAAAAGTGTCAATTCTTCTCCGGTCTTCCTTATTCACTGTCCAGCTTTCACGTGCCTATGAGGTTATTGAAAATACCATGGTTTGGGTCAGGTGCACCTTAGTTCTCAAGCTGACATCTTTGCTTTTCAACACTTTAAAAAGGTCTTGTGCAGCAGATTTGACTAATGCAATGTCATTTGATTTATTGACTGTTGCTTCCGTGAGTGTTGATAGTTGATCCAAGAGGAAGTCCTTGACAACTCCAATCTTTTCTCCATTGATAAGAATGTTTATTGGTCCAGTGGTGAGGATTTTTGTTTTGTTTACATATAATCCATACCAACGGCTGTGCTCTTTGATCTTCATCAGTGAATTATTTTAAGTCCTCTTCACTTTCAGCAAGCAAGTTTGCATCATCTGCATATTGCAAGTTGTTAATGAGTCTTCCTCCAATTCTGATGCATTGTTTTTCTTCATATAACCCAGCTTCTCAGATTATTTGCTCAGCATACAGGTTGAATAAGTATGATGAAAGAATACAACCTTGTCGTACACCTTTCATAATTTTAAACCATTCAGTGTTCCCATGTTCTGTTTGAACAATTGCCTCTTGGTCCAGGTAGATTCCTCATGAGCACATTTAGTGTTCCAGAATACTCATACTTCGCAATGTTGTCCATAGCTTGTCATGATCCACACAATCGAAAGCTTTTGCGTAGTCAATAAAGCACAGGTAAACATCTGATATTCTCTGCTTTCAGCCAAGATCCACTGGACATCAGCAGTGATATCCCTCATTCCATGGCCTCTGCTGAATCCAGCTTGAACCTCTAGAAGTTCTGTCAATGTATGCTTGCAGCCGCTTCTGTATTACCTTTAGTAAAACTTGACTCGCATGGGCTATCAAAGAGACTGTCCGATCAGATGTCTGTAAGGATCTGCAAAGCTAAAAGATTTTCTTAGGGATACTTAACCTATTACCAAAGATCCCTTCAAATCCCAACTGCTGATGGCCCTTTCCTGTTTCTAGTCATTTTTTCGTATCCTTTCAATACCTCGTTAGTAACAAACTGGACCTACCTTTCTGCTTTCCTGATGGTGGTGGTGATGTGCTGTGGAGTTGGTTGCAATTCATAGTGACCCTGTACAGAGTTTCCAAGGCTGTAAATCCTTACAGGAGCAAAAAGTCTCATCCTTCTCCCCTGGAACAGCTCGTAATTTCAAACTGCTGACTTTGAGGTTCGCAGCCCGATTCGTAACCACTACACTACCAGAGCTCCTTTCCTAGTGGCTTTTCAGACTCTCAGACCATAGCAACTCTTCCATCCAAAGTTGCAGCTTCACTGTAATGAGTTATCTTCCTATAAACTCTGTTCCCCTCCAGTTAAACCAGATGCCCAGGCCAGGAAGAGGAAGAAAACACAGGTACAAGCCCTTGGGAGGGGCTTCCCCATGCTACTGAGGAGCAGGCTCTACTGGGAAGCGTCTCAAACTTAAATCATAAAGCACAAGTTCCACACATAACCTGAAGGGAGGATTACAGCCTTCTAAAAAAGACATGACCTCAACAAGAAACCAACAAGGCCACATCAACAGGAAATTAATTTTATTTTTAAATCCAAGGGTCAGAACAAATGAGACTCCTATCCGTGGCTGGCAAACTTAAGTGGCCAACAGGGACTTGGGGTGGGGTGGGTTGGGGGGGATTAACAGCAGAGGGTGGTAGGAACACTCCAGATAACACAGGTGCTGAGGCCTATTCACTCTGGTGCCGCCTCCATCAAGTACCCATTTTCTGGGGCCAGGTAGCCGTCACCCCCCTCAGACTCTATATACATGTCACGGCTGTCATTACCCAGACCCTCCAGCCCGTTGTCCTGGCCGCCCCCACCCCCTCCACTTCGGGCCTCCTCCCTGCCCCTCTCCCCACCCCTCTCCCCCCGCTTGTGCTCGCGATCTCGGTCCCGATCTCGGTCCCGGCGCCGTTCCCTTTCGCTGCGGTGGCTCCGCCGACGATCCCGGTCCCGATCTCTGCCCTTCTCTTCTGGCCCCTCCGGGCCATCAGGGCCAAGCTCCCCAGGAGGCCCATCATCAGGAGGTGCATCACCGGCCTCAGAAGGCTCTGCCATGTCGCCGCCGCCTCCGCCGCCCCCACCCCCACGCAGTTCCTCTTTGCGCTCCCGCTCCCGTCGGGCCCGCTCGCGGCTCCGACTGCTTCGCCGCTTCCGCTCCCGGTCCTTGTCCTTGCTCCGCTCCCTGGAGCGTCTTCTCTCCTCCTTGTCGCGACTCCGTGAGCGCCGCCGCCGGTCCCGAGAGCGGGAGCGTCGCCGTTCCCGTTCCTTGTCTCTGTCCCGGCTCCGTTCTCTGCGCTCCCGCTCGCGGTCCCGATCCCGGTCCCTGTGTGGAAGCGGGGAGGGGCCGGGCCTGGATGAGGGGGGCAGAGGTTTGTGGCAGGGTTCCCCCATGTCACTACCCCTTCCCAAAAACCCGGATGCCCAGTTCTTACCTCTCATCGTAGCGGGAGGTGTCATCACGGCCTGAATGCCGGATATTCACGTCGGCCCCACCTCTTCTGGTACCACCCAGGCCGCCTCCTGTGGGCGGGGCGTAGAGAGGGTCAGCCTAGCCGACAGTAACCAACAGCACGCCAAAGGAAGCCGACCACCACTGGTGGGCATCTAAAGGGGCCCCGTCCTGTGATGACCATTTTGCTAGAACCTCCTCTAACATGACTCATGTCCCTCAACAATACGTGTCAACGTAGTAGGGCCAGGATTCTAAGTAGTCTAGAAGTGATGTAGCGGCTATTTAAGGGAATTTCCCTGGGGTGTGGCCTGCATCATTTTTCTCTTACAAGAGAGAACAAACACAAGGGGCTCAGGATCACTGAGAGCCGGGAGGGGGACGCAGAGTCCCTGCGCTGAGAAGCTCCCAGACCCAGGGGAAGGCTGACAGCAAGACACATGGAGACCTCCAAGGACACTAAATCCACAGGTGCTAAGACATGAACCTTCCTGCAGAGCCGACAAGAGAAGACTTCCTCTAGAACCAGCACTTGAAGAAACTTTTTGACTATAATCAAAGTTTGTTACTAAAGTCATGCCCTGCCAGTATGTCTATTATAATAAATAGCGCTAGAGAACTAAGACACAAGAGCCACACTTCACAGACTCAGTGACGTTCACAAGGTACTAGTTAGGGATCACACACCATTCCCTCAAAAGCAAGAGGGAATACAAGAACAACTCAGCACCCACCAAGCTCTTCACTGACTAGGTGAGGTGGGAGGTTTGTACACCACGTGGGTTCCCTCACTGAAGCTGTGGTCTGCGGAAAAGCCTCAGCAATTTCCCACCATTAGAATGTCCAAACTCCTTACTGAGGACTGCGAGAGCTGGCCCTTGGCCTACCCTTCAAACCAAGGGTCCGCGGTTCTTTGTGTCCTGGCACTTTCAGTCTCCTCATACTCTCTGCTTCCTTCCCTCGCTCCTTATGCACAATCACCCCTCCCCTGGAATGAGGCACCTGCGTCCTTCTCTGCTCAGTTCCAACCCCACCTCCCAGGTGAGCAAACATCACTGCCTCAGGAAGCCTTCCCCCACTGACCATATCCTCTCAGTACCACCAACACCTCCATCCAGAACCTGTGGTGACGACACATTTGGTACGAGGGGGATTCAAACAGTTAGTGGAAAAATTCCATTGTCTTTTCACTCCATTTTCCCACAAACTTAAAAGTCCCCTCATATGTGTGTGTACAAGTCGATGAATACCTCTTCTCTTACCAGGCTGAGAAGCACTATGAAAGTTAAGGACAACCTCTGGTTTTGCTCACTATGTCCAGCACAGTGCTAGCATCCAGCACACAGAGTGGTGTGTGTCTCTCACGTGACTCAATGAGAAACCCTAAGAAGATGATGACATTTCACCAGAGAAATTGCTTGCCCAAGGTGCTTTGGTGATAAAGGTTCAGAGCTGGGCTGTGCCTCCCACCTAATGCCAGAACCTGTCCTCTGCTCCTCATAGCTTGCCACTAGAATACACACTGGGAGGAGACGGGTCTGGGGGCAGACTGAGTTCCTCAAGAGAAATGACTACTTACCATGAGGGTAACAACGCAGTGAAGACGCTGCTTGGACACCGGGGACCGGTCTAAAGAAACCCCACTGTCCTGAGTGGATTCTAATTCACAATGATCCCGTGACAGCGTAAAACAAGCTCCACAAGGTTTCCCTGTGTTCTTTACGGGAGTAGATCTCTACAGAGCTACTGGGTAGGTTCAACTGCTGGGTAGGTTCAAACTGACAACCTTTCAGTTGCAGCTGAGCATTTAACTACTGCCATTACCAGGGCTCCTCATAGGATGCTGCCCAAAAGCCAAATCCTCTGCTGTTACATCAATTCCAGTTCATAGCGACTGTACAGGAGAGAGGAGAACGACCCCGCTGGGTTTTCAAAACTGGAATCTACATGGAGGCAAGACTGCCACATCTTTACCCCTTGGAGTGGCTGGTGGATTTGAACCATCAACCTTTCAGTTATCCACCAGGTGCTTAACAAATAAGCCACCAAGACTCTTGTGACCAGTCTGCTGTTGTTGTGAAGTGCCGTCGAGTCGGTTCCGACCCATAGCGACCCTGTATAGGGTTTCCAAAGAGCAGCTGGTGAGCTTGAACCACTGACCTTACAGTTCAAATGACTTTGTAGTCTGACGCATTAGCCCACAGCACTACACTAGGACTCCTGTGACCAGTCTAAAGACAAGTTAAATAGGGAGCAGGCACCTAACCAGATAAGGAGATGGCCTGAGAGGAAAATCAACTCATGAAGCCGACACAATTGGTGAGCAAATGTTTCCTGAATCACCAAACAAATGAGCAGCAACGGAAAGCAAGGGCGCAGCCTACAAGGAACCAATGGCATTGAGCAGCCCCATCACCTGCCGTATCCCTGGCTGAGGTGACAACTCCCAAAGTGTGGAAAATGAGGGGACGGGGCAAAACCAGCCAGCTGGTGAGCACTCAAGCCAGCACATGTCCCAATGCTAATCAGCAACCCCGAAAGAGACAGCCAGCATCATGAAGTGTCAGGGAAGAGCAACGCAGATGGAAGAGAGGGTGAGTGTTGTGAGCCGCTATAGCAGAGCGAGGGGAAAACAAGAAAGCCAAAAGAGGAGAGGGAGGTGAGAGGCAGCCCCCAGGTCTGAGGGGCAAGGTCCACTCACCCAACCTCCGGGGCCTCCAGCCCTTGACAGTTCGGCCCCTCTCCACATCCACGAGAACCCTCCTGCCGTCAATCTTCTTGCCATCTGCGTGCTTGTAAGCGGCTGCAACAGATGTGGGGGGGGGAGGGGAGGAGTCCCCAGAGGATACTCTAGTCAGGACAGGGCCATGCTGGGCCACATCCCCACCCCGTCCCCATCAACGCACACTCACGCACGCCCACCAGACAGTCAGGCAAATGACAGCCAGACAACCCTCTCCGAGCCCGCTGAGAGGGCTGCTCCATCTCAGCGCTTCCTCAACACCCCCAAATCGTTATTGGGGGGCACCACTACTTCCAGCCCCAACCTCCCAGTCCTTTTGATGCCCCTTGACAGAGCAGCCCCCTCCCACCAGGGCGGCCAAGGTCGCTGCAAAAAAACTGGAGGTTAACTTAATGCTGGACTCTGTGTGGGGCCCCTGGAGGGTTCCTCCACAACCCAGGCATGCACCCTAACAGGCATGCTGGGGCAGGGGGCCAGTGGCCACTCTGCACCCAGCCACCACTGTTTTCTCTCTCGGTTTTCTTCGGGTGTGTTAAGTGTGGAGGTCATCAGAACAGACATCAGAACAGAGAATGAACCAGAGGAGTGGAATCCTCCCAATGGCAGGGAGCAGAAAAGTGGTTCTGGCGCTCCTGGGGGGCCTGAAGGGGCCCCCGCAGCAAAAGAGGGAAGGAGAATGGAGATTTGGGGGACGTGCGGTGCTGCTTAAACTCCTGCCTTACCTGAGACGACGGACCCCACTGAGCCTGCCACCCGTCCTCTCCCCCTCCACACCCACCACACTGCCCACTAGGAGCGAGCCCCGCCAGAGGACTCTGAGGGTACGGAGTAGAGGAGGAGATGAGGGGAGAATCAGGTGCCTGCTCTCTGGCAGGGCGCCCCAGTCCCCTGGCCTGGAATCAGGTGGGCAATCCAGAAGGTGGGCAAACAAGCCCTTGGCTCCCCACCCCCATGCCCTGGCCTAGGGGGGTGGGATCTTCAACCAACCACAATTCCCTGCCCCACCCCAGCCCGCTCCCCCCATAACAACCAGAGGAAGAGAAAAAGGTGCCATTTACCGATGCCAGCCTTGCGGGTGTCCAAACCGAGCGGGGTGGGGGGGGCTCGGCAACTCCTGGGGGCCTGGCGAGGAGGCGGGCTTCCCGGGGGGGACACGGGACCGCTTACCTGGAGCCCCCAAGCTTACCTGAGCACGCGCACAGACCCCACACCCACCACCATGGGGCCAACTAAAGCTACAGGGAAGGGACGCAGGGCTCTAGGGAGCCAGGGGGAGAGGAGACAGGCCCTGCCCCTGCAGCACCTGGAGACAGGTGGAGGTGACAGTGTAACTAAGAAGAGAAGCTGGGTGTTCGGGAGTCACAGCACACCCGGGGAGGGGGCTGGGCAGCCCTGGGACCACCATGTCTGCAGTCAAAGAGACGGCTGGCAAAGCTCAGAAAAGCTGCCAGCCCTTACCTGCTCCCAAGCCTAACTAAATATATGTCCCACCCTGTCTGTGGGGTGATTCTCCCCCCACAATCCACATTCCCTCCCTCAGCTGCATCGCCCCAAGGCTGGCACACAGGGGGCCTGGAGGTCTGCCCAAGGTCAGGAAGCGGGGCCACTTGGCCCCTGAGCCCAGAGAAGGGACATGGGAGGAGATGTTGAGGATAGGGGCCAGGGTCAAGTTGAGAAAGCCTGCTCTGGTTCATGTCCCAAACCCCAGAAGAGGCCCACCCCAGGAATAACAGCAAAGGAAAAGGCGATGTGTCCTTCCAGACTTCTCTCTCTCTCTCTTTCCCTCGCTAAGTCTCTAGACTGTGGAGGAACCTCATGTCAAAGTCTATGGCACCTCCAGCGGCTTGCTGCCTACCTCCTGACCCCCCACACACCCCAGTCCCCAATTCCATGCACCTTGAAGAGCGACCGGCAGCACTGCCGGCCCCTTGGCAGGCCTCAACAATCAGGAAAACTGGCAGAGGACAGAGTCCCCCAAACCTAGCAGTCAAAACCATCCCCTGGAGTGGGGCCAGGGAGCCATGGGCCAGAGGGTTCCATTAGAGCCCTCACTTGGCGCACCTATTTAGTTCCCACCACCTTGCCACTGATGTGAGCAAGCCGGGTGGGCGGGGGGGTGAGTGAAGCCCAACTAGAGAGGCCAAGTGCATTCCCCATCAGGGTTCACCCACCCCTCCAGGGGTGGGAGGGGCTGAGGGCACCCAGATGAGGAAAGGGCTCTGGGTGCGGGAAGGCAAAGGGCGGCTGGGAGGGGAGGCCTCGCTGCTCCTGCGCTGCCTGACTAAGCTGGGCTGGTGTGCGGTGCTGAGCGAGCTTACCCATGATACAAACCCTTATACCAACCATACACTGAGGTGTTGTAAGGGGAGCGTAAGCATCAGCTGCAAGCCAGCTGCGTGGTGGCTGCAGTGACAATAAGAACAGTCAATTAATACGGCGGCCCCTGGACACGCCGCAGCCCCACCCGCCCAGCCCGCCCAGCCCTGCCCATGTGGACGCTGCCGCAGCCTCAGAGGGGGCTTTGGGAATGTGGGGGCAGGCACTGAGGGCGCCCACCATCCCACTGTCCGCTGAGGAACAGGATGGGGGCTGGAAGGAGGTGGAGGGTTGGTTGGCCCCACCCCAACTCTGCTGTGGGGGGAGAGGGCAGGTTCAAAGGCTGATCCTCATTCCATGCTGGCCACCCCAGACTCTGGGGACGGAGGGCAGGACAATGGGGAGAGATGCTCCCCTAAAGTCTGACCTGACCCCATCCCCAACCTCCAGCTCACCCCAGCTCCCATCCAGTTCCCTACATGCCCCTGAGGTTTCAACGTGTGACACTTACCTCCCCGGATTCACACACACACACACACACACGTTGTAGGGGATTTTGGTTTTTGGTTTTAAAAAAACATGTATATAAGAAAAAAAAAAAGAGATATCAGAAACAGAGGGAGGCAGAGGAGAGACACTGCTCAGGTCAGGGTCAGTGGGGGGGACAGACGACCAGGAGAGGTGAGGGGCAGTGGGTAGGCGCTGGCCAGACTCACAGTGCATGTCCCGCTCATGCTCGTACTCAATGAAGGCGTAACCGCGTGGCTTCCCAGAGCGCTTGCTGTAGACCATGTGTATCTGCGGGGCAAGGGCCAGGTTAGCACAGAGCCAGGGCACTAAAAACCCAGAAGTCTCCAAACTGACCCCAAAGTGAGTTCAGAGGACGCCTGGGGACAGCCTCTGGGCAAGGTTACAGGAGATGCCAGCCAACACCAAGGAAGTCATTCCTCAGGGAGCTGGCATGGGCCCACAGAATGCCTAGCTCAGAATTTGGCAATTTGTGCCTAACAAGGCAACAAAAGAACAGAGTGTGAAAGGGACATTAAAATTTCAAGGTGGAAGCAAAAGTGTGCCTCTGCTATACAGGCTAAGCCAAACCAAACTCACTGCCAGCAAGCTGCAGGCAATACCCTTCAAGACTTTTCAGACCAGTCTACAGAAACTACTGGAAGTTGCTTTTAAGTGCAAATGCAGTCACAGACAATACATCAACAGGGGTGCTGCAGTTCAACAAAACTTTCTTGACAAGTAGTGATTTAGTTTGCCTTCCCCTGCTCTCAGTCACTGCTTTGAATCTCCGTGGTACTGCAGTCTGTAGTGTGGATGTGCAGGTTGGATGGGAATCCCGAGGTGCTAAGATCCAGCATCCCTCCCTGTCAGGCACTCCCCAGCCCAGCCTGGCACCCCCAAGCCACTCACTCTTTTGATGGGTCCGTACACCTCAAACTCTCTCCGGAGCTTTGATTCTGTTGTGTCATAGTTCTGCAAGACAGACATGACATGACATGGGAGAAGGGCACACTCTCAAAGTTCTCTGAACACACCCCCAGTCCCAGCCTGCTGCCCTAGGACCCCAGGATGTGGAGTGGGGACTCACCACTCTTGCCACGAAGAGAGTCTTAAAAGCATCCCCCTGAGCGTTGGGATCGTTGTGTGGATCCCCTGTGTGGGAAGAGGAGAGTCGGTAGGGAGAAGGTGGTCACAGTGTTGGGTAACAGGACAGACCCTCACAGACAGGGGCCAGAAAGATAAAGACCCAACTGAAAGCTTCAGGCCCCAAGTAGAAGATGGCTGGTGATCTCCCTGAATCCCGCTTCTGGAAGCAGAGCCAGCATCAATCTAAGTGGCAGATCGGTAGCAACCTAGAGGATGAGGTAGGGCGGGAACCCATCCTATCATCGTTAAGTATCGCTAACCAATTAAGGTGGAGCAGTGGGTTATAGTCTGATAACTAAGACTGGTGGTCCTAACCCACCATTATTTCTGCAGGAGACATGCAGCTGGCTGCTCCCATCCTAATTTAGTCTCAGAAACCCTGTACCAGGTCGCTGTGACTCGGAATCAACTCTATGGCAGTGGGTTTGGTTTGTTTTTGGTTTAACCTAGAAAGGGAGACACCTGCTGGGTGTTGAGCTCCCTCCCTCAATGTGGAGCCACACTGCCACCCACTGGAAACAGACCACAATTGCAGCCAGCTGGGAAATCTGAGGCAGTGTCCGGAACACCAGACTGGTGCCCGCCCAAGCAACTGAATCAGAGCTCAGAATCCTTCCGGATCCGGAAAGCCAAGAGCCTTCTGGCTCCCAAAGAATAGCTACTTCTAAGGACAGAGGCCAGGAACAGACCAGGGATTTACTTAAAAACCCACTCCTCCAAAAGTGATTCTGTTGGACCAGACTTGAGAGTTAAGTGACTTTCAGCAAGCCTGGGGGTTCCAAGGATCCCTTTACTCCTGCTCATTAAACAACAGAGAGAAGCAATCTTTGCTGGCATTGTTTCCATGTGATTGTGTCACCCTCAGAGAAGGAACCATCTGAATGTGACAACTAGAATGTCTCAAGCATGAGCATATCTATAGTCAGACTACGGTAGACACTGGGAATTAAGTACCACCACCTTGCAAATGTGCTACTACTTACTTTATTAACTTGACCTATTGTTGTTGTTAAGTTGTTGTTGAGTGTCGTCGAGTCAATTCCGACCCATAGGGACCCTGTATAGGGTTTCCAAGGAGCACCTGGTGAGCATGAACTACCAATCTTGCAATTCAAATGACTTTGCAGTCTGAGCATTAGCCCACAGCGCCATACCAGGACTCCTGTGCAAGGTTGGTGGTTCAAGTAAAGCACCACTGTTTCCTACTCCGGTGATTTGATTACTATGCAACATATGCATGCTGACCATGACTCTTGAAGAGTTTCAGACTGCAAATGAGGTTCAAAATGACTTTAGGGGATTTCTCAAAAGGCACAGGCCCATTTTAAGGGGCTAACTATTTGGGAGGCAGAGACACCCAACAATGACACTACCTTTGGCTCCTCATCCAGCCCCCTTGCTCATCCCTAATTGCTCAGTGTTATAACTTTGTGTCCAGGTCTCTCCATCTACACTGGGTGCCTCTTGCTCATTCACTCATTTCTTCAACAAATGTTCCTTGAGCACCCTCTATGCCCGATGCTGTTGTAGGTAGGTGTTGGGGGTTCAGTAGTGAACATGACCAAAACCATCCCTCCAGCTCACAGAGCTCACAGGCGAATGGGAAAAGATGACCACCTAACAAGCCAGTAAATCACAGGGTTCTAGCAGGACTGGTCTGGAGAGAGGCTGATCTGAAATGTGTTTACGAAAGGCCACATTGAATGTAGGCCTGGAAGAGGGGGGCAGCCTTCCAGATAGAGAAGCAGGGTGGAGGAATATGTGGCTAGCAAGGGCTTTGATGGCCACTGTCACCAGGTGCTCCTTGGAAACCCAATAAAGTGTCGCTATGGGTCAACTCAACAGCACTTAACAACAACACAGTGAATGAGAAGGGACCGTGGGAAGGTTCTGAGCGTAAGAGGGAGAGAGTAGTATTTGGACTCAGGTTGCTGGCGAGGCTGGGACAAAGCAGGAAGACAGTTGCTAGTGACGCTGGCTCGGGCCAGGGTAGTAGGATGACCTGTGCTCCACCGCTGACTCATGTCATCTCTCAGACTGCCTCTGAAGCGCCCCATCCAGTGGAGCACCCACACTTCATGCTTCCCCTGCATTGTCTCAACTTCACAACAAGTCCACCAAAAGGTGGCATCTTGAGAGAAGCACCTGCTCATGCCCTGAGTAGGAGCCCAGTTAAGACTGAAAATCTGGGAGCAGATTAACCACAGGATGCAAGAGCTTCAGTCACCCCAGGCTGTCCCTGAGCCTGGTCTCTGAGCCAGAGCCCCAGTTCTCCATCTGCTGCCAGCACTGCTCTCCTCACAACACAGCACTCCCTCAGACATCAGAACGTGAGCACAGGCATCGTTGTTGTTGTGAGCACCTCACTGCTGTGACCTCAGCCCCAGTCAGAGCACCAGGGAATCGCTCCACGGTGGGAGCACACCATTAGATGGTGGGAGGCTGACACATGCTGAATACCAGTTTTGGAAAAGCCTGAAGTGAAATAAAACAAGATAGTTCAGGGGGGAAGACAAAATAATGCTCCCACAAAAAAATGTCTGCACCTGTCTTAGGAAGCTGTGTCTATGCTACTTCCCACAGTGTAAAGGACCCTGCAGCTGTGATGATGTCAAGAAGCATGGGGAGGTGATCCTAGGCTATCTGAGGGAGCCCACCATCACAAGGGGTCGTATGAGGGAGGCAGGAGGTGAGAGACAGCAGGAGATGGGTGAAGGAAGCAAAGGTTGCAGTGCTGATCTCTGAAGATGGAGGAAGGGGTCATGAGCCAAGGAAAGCAAGCAGCCTGCCACTAGAATCTGGAAAGGGCTGGAAGAGTGGACGGTGAAGAGGCGCTGCTCGTTATGCTGAAGTGCAAAAGGATGCTGTTCGCAGAGAAGCAAACAATCAGAATGATCCTTATCAAAGGCCCACGTGAACCGAGTTGGACAAAGAGAATTACACTGTTACTGTGATAGCGGATGGCGGTGAACGTGGTCTAAGTTATGATCTAGAGTGAGCAGGACCACGCCTCAGTGCAGACCCCAAGGAGACTAGGCTGGATTAAGAGCCCAACAGTGGACTGAAGTCTGAGTCTGAGATGCCTTGGAGACATCAAGAAAGGATGTCAGCGTGCTAACTGGGATGGTCCAGGCAGGGAAACAAAGGGAAAAATTGCTTTCTTTCTCTTTTATAATGTACTAAAAAGGAAACAATGTAGATTTACTTTCTCATTAAAAGAACCCATTGAGAACCATGCTAAAAATGAAAAAGAAAAAAGGAAAGAAAGTAAGATTTGGAAATAGATAATAGTGAGCACTGAGTAACATGAGGCGTGTGGTTGACACGGCAGTTATGGTTGGATTGTATATGTAACAAACAAAAAAAAGATGCCAAGGCCAACTGTGCATGAGAGTCACAGCTGAGAGAGCTTACAAACGCCCATTAGGCATCCAGGGAAATCCATCATACCCAAGCACAGCCCCATAGGGACTGGTGACAAAACCCAGCTCTTCTGACAACCAAACCATTACTCTGATAATGAAATAGCCACCTGGAGTTAACACCAGACCCGCCTGTGATGGAGGTGACTGGCAACAACATACCATATAGCCTTCCACTTCCTCCACTACCTGGAAGGGATGACACATCCCCAGTTCAAAGGTCACAGAGTAGGGGTGGAGCCAAGACCAATTCACAAGCTACACCTTACTGCTCGCAGCCTTGAAGAGCTGGGTGAGCAGGCACCTTAGCCCTGCCAGAAGGTCAGGCACCGGTACCAATGCTCAACTCTCCTTTCCTGCCAACCCTTCCCCCATGTTCTCCAGCTCCCAGGCATATGAAGGAGCGAATTCAGTGAACTATCAACTCTGCCTCCCCCGAACAAGCCTCTGAGAGAACATGAGCCAGGGTCTGACCTGGAGAAGAGGAAACCAAGACGTGGCAAGAAGACGTAAGAAGAGGAGTGAAACACTTACACATTTTCAGTTCCGTCTCCACTTCCTGTTGCCGCCGCTCAATCTTTTCCCGCCTCTGTATGGACAAAGAGGAAAAAGGATTAGACAATGCAGACAGGAGTGCCCCCCACCAGTGACTATCCTAGAAAACATAACCATAAGGTGTGGAACCTGGAGGCTAACGTAGCATACCTTCCTCTCCATACGTTCCTCCCGGGTTTCTGCACGAGTCGGGGGAGGCGCATCTCGAGGGTCCTGGGAATAAGAAGAGGTGACATGGTGGGAAGGACAAGAGAAAACAGCTCGGGGCAGTCACCAAGAAAAGAAGGCTCTCAGCCCCTCCCCAGCTATTCAACCAGCATGACAAGTTCACAGGCTAGTGGAAGTTGGAAGTTTCATAGAGGAGAAGCACAAAAACCAGGCACATGGATTAAGAGACTGATAGGAAATCTGACAGGGCAGTTTTATGCCCATAAAATTTAATAATAAAAATATGGGTTTGCATTTTGTATGCATCTCTTTCCTTAATTACTAGATAAAGACAAAAAATACAAAAAAACAACAAAACAAATGAAAAGCGGTAATGGATGTCCAACATGGTGAACATTTAACCAGCATCTCCGACTTGCACACATAAAAAAGGTTGGAAGAGCAAGTATTATACTATACTACCATGAATAAGAGCTCTGGTAGCATAGTGGTTATGAATTGGACTGTGAGCTGCAAGGTCAGCAGTTCGAAACTACCAGCCGTTCCGCAGGAGAAGGATAAGGCTTTCTGCTCCCATAAAGATTTACAGCCTTGGAAACCCTATGCAGGGTCACTATGAGTCGGAACCGACTCCACAGCACATAACAACAACAACAACAGTGATAAGTACTTAAGTACATAAATTATTAGAAAAATTATTAGAAAAACTTAAATAACTTAATATCAATCTGCAAAGGATTAGAAATGTAAACAAACTTGTCCTTCACCATGGCATAGTTGAGAAGCACCAGCAAGGTGACAGCTACCTGAAGAACAGACTCACAGGTTCTCAACTGCCCTTTTTACGGGATGTCCTGCTTCTCACAGCCCCAAATATCCCTGTATAGTGAGCAGAGGACCAGAGAACACCCAATGGGCTGATGGGAGGACCAAGGCCTTAAAGCCACGCCTTAAGCAAAAATAGCAGACCAGAGTTCAAAAGCAATATACTGAAACCATTCAAAGGCCAAGTCTCACCAACCACCCATTAAATAGAACAGGTACATGACTCCATTCCAAGAGGTGCTGCTACAGGATGGCACCCACTTGACTAGTTTAATTGGCTAATTAACCACACTTTCAAAGTACCGTTCATTGAGGGTGACAAATCCTTCTGAAGACCCAGCCTTCTACCATGATCTTGCGGTGCAACTCTCGCCATTTATTTCTCACGTGAAGAACAATACCCTACCCAACCACTCAGAGCCAGAACTTCTCCTCTAGGACTTCTGGCTATGTGTCAGCATTTCTCAAGTGTCTGGATGGGCCTTGAAGTGAATATGGTTATTTCAATTTCACAAATGAAAAATCTGATACCCAGGAACTATGTCACATGGGCACCATGACCCTGCAGATGCAGAGCTAAAACTCCCCAAGCACACAGCCTTTAGCTCTGTAATACACTGCACTTACTCTCTCTGAAATCGTCCCATGAATGGTTAAAAACTACCGTAACATTTGCTGACAAAGGCGCAAAACTAACATAAATGTTCACACTTCAAAGTCCATCAATCTCATGAGGAAGATACTTCCATATTAAAGATGAAGAGACCAAAGTGTTAAGAGATTATACCACTTGCCAAAAGTCAAAAATAAACAGGTGTATGCCAAGCTCTGACTCTAGAACCTGAATTCTCAACTGCTACTTTCTAACAACTCTTATTGCTACATTGTGACAACTCCTTTACAGAGTTCCCTAGGTTGTAATCTTTAGGGAAACAGACTGCCACATTTTTCTCTCATAGGATCACTGGGTGTGTTCAAACCAACAACCTTTCAGTTGGCAGACAAGCACTTAACCTTTGCACCACCATGAAGCGCCTAATAATCTTGTTTAAGATAGGGAAGCTGAAGGTCAAAAGGATAAATCAAACAGCAAGAAAACAGTCAGACACAATGGAATACCACACAATGCAGAAGAATAACAATGAATCTGGGAAACGCTTTGTAAAACTGATCGCAATATAACAAATATGAGACCATTGCTGTAAAAAGTTAGGTTTTAAATGCTAAAAGAAACATTTTATGATGGTTACCAGAGATGGGAGAGAAAAGAAAATTATTCACAGACAAGAGGGAGTTCTGGTGTGACGCTATAGGATAGGGACTGGCAATTCAAACCCACCAGCCACCCCTTGGAAACACTACACAGGGTAGCTATGAGTCTGAACCAACTCCATGGCACTTAACAACAACAGAGAGTAGGCAGACACGTGTTAACAGGTGACAAGGAAGGCAATGTACAAGAGAAATGTTGGCACAGGAAAGAGGAAGGGGATGGAAGACACAGGGAGGAGTGCAAGAATTAAAGTGACTAGAGGTAAATACTGATGGTACGTGAAGGGAACTGAAATCACTGTAATGAAACAGACTACACGATTTGATGAATATAAACTGATGACTGGCTCTGTAATCTATAAGCCTTCCCTCAACTCACACATACTTACACACACTCACACACAACATGGATTCTAACCCCCAACCTACTGGCCCCTGGGACATAAGCCCACTTCTCATTCACTTAGTGTGCTCACCTCAAACTCACGGATGTAGGGTGCAATTCCACAATAAGGTTGATTGTGGTGTTTTTCGTGTGGCAGCTTCTCCAGGGGTGGCAGGTACGGGATGGGGTCTCGGGGCGCAAACAGGGCCAGAAGGTTGGGGGGCAGGAACTGAGTCATCTTGCCAAGCCTAAGGACAGAAGCAGGGTCAATTAGGGTGGTTTGGCAGGAATCACTCCCCTAAAATCCTTCGAGTCTCAAGAAAAAAAGGGAACTAGGAAAGAAGCCTCAGTGTTAAAGCTGAAGGGAAGAGTGCCCCCCTGTCACAGGCGACAAAGTAAACCTGAAAGAGAAAACAAGTTTCTGGGGCCTAGGGGGAGGGGAACAAGGGAAACAAAAGACAGGAAAGGTTTTCTGAGAGCTTTGATTCCTGAATAAAGGGTTGTGGGGCGCAAAGGGTGGTGGGTTGGGGGGATGATCGACAATTCTTAAGTCCCAGAGCAGTGGAGGCTAGCGGTCCCATATACCTCGGAGAAGGCTTTATGATAGGGGCTGGGATGGGAGAGGGTCAGAAGTCTCCAATGAATGGATCAAAATGATCTCACGTAGCAAAGACTTGTGGGAAATAGGTCTGGGCCCCCTAGAGACGAAAGGAATTGTGGGTAAGGGTCCCAGCCTCGACATCGACGAGAGGAGGGAAAAAGGGCAACGCACCGCAAGGGCCTGTGGGTAGAGAACCGCGGGGGGGGGGGGGGACGGTAATGAAAAGAGGGCCCGAGGGCCTAAAAACACACTGGCTAACACTTGCAGAGAAGAAAAGTGCTGTGGTAGGGGCGCGGGAAAGGGGCCCAGCGCGGGGAGAAGAGCAGGGGCCCAACGCGGGGACTTGTGGGTAGCGGTCCCGTTCCCGGTAAGGCCAGTCAGTCACACTTACGCGCCGCACGGCGGCCTCTTCGGCCTGGCGTCGGTCCGGGGGCTCGCGGCGGCCCCTCAGCGGCAGGGACTCCTGCTCTGGCGTCTACTTCGGCGGTGTCTGCGTCCGTATGGCTCCTTGGCCAGCCCAGCGCGCGCACCAGGCCGCTGTTCACGAACCCGCGCGGCCTCAGCTCGCGACGGGAATTGGGGGTGGAACCCGGTGTTAGATCCCTCCGCCGTTCGCACTGCGCAGGCGCTACTCGCTGCACGAACTACCCACACACACTGCGGCCGAGTCCCGCCGAGGGCAAAGCGCATGCGCAAAGTGATGGCCTCTGCCTTCCGGCGCCTTAAATCCCTTTGCCGCTATTGCTTAGCGACCTCTCGGCGCACGCGCTGAGCACCCGCCACCCTCTGCCCCGCCCTCTCAGCTCCAACCGCTTCTGTCTGCGAGACTCTCCTGACACTCCGCCCCTTTTCCAAACTCACTTCCTGAGTGCTCGCGCATGCGTTTTTGTTATTACACTTAACGTACCCTTCCGCCTATTGGGAAAAAGTCCTTGTGCGAATTCCAATTAGATTTATGTCTAATGTAGTCAATCAATAACATAATAACATAGAGTACCTAGTGCGTGCTAGACACCACTTGAGACGCTTGTGACTAAAAGTCCTCTTCCTCATGTTCGTTAGGTCCTACTTGGGAGACAATTGTTATTGTTAGGTATCCAGTCAGTTCGGACCCATAGCGACCTTATGTATCATCACAATTGCTGCTACGCTTGAAGCCATTGCTGCAGCCATTGTACCAATCCATCTCGTTAGAGGGTCTCCATCTTTTTCGCTGTCCCTCCACTTAACCACATATGATGTCATTCTTCAGGGACTGGTCCCACCTGATGTTAAGTGCCGTTAGTCAATTCCGATTCATAGCGGCCTCGTATAGGGTTTCCCAGAAGCAGCTGGTGGGTTTGAACCACTAACCTTGTGGTTTGCAGCCCAGTGCTTGTCGTACACCACACCAGAAGTCTGGTCCCGCTTGACAATATGCAGGAAGTGTGAGAGACGCTGTCTGGGAGTCTTGGCTTCTAAGGAACATTCTGGTTATACTTCTTCGAACACAGATTTGTTTATTCTTCTGGCAGCCCTTGGTACCTTTACTATTCTTCTTCAACACCATAACTCAAATGCATCAATGTTTCTAAGGTCTTCCTTATGTATGGTCCAGCTTTCACATGCATATGAAGCTATTGAAAATACCATGCCTTGGTTCAATAAAGACATTTAAATAAGTAACAATTTCAGATAGTGACTGACACAATGAAGCAAAATGGGTCAATGTCAGCAGATGGGAAGGGACAGCCTGTTTTAGAAAAGGTGATATTTGAACAAGGTAATGATTGAGGAGCGATCTGGACAGGGTTGACAACCAGTGCAAAGCCTCTGGGGAGTCCCTGGGTGGGGCAATCCATTAACACGCCAGGCTGCTAACCGAAAGGTTAACTGTTCAATTCAGAGGCACTTCAGATGAAAGTCCTGTTGGTCTGTTTCTTTAAAAACCAACCACTTAAACACAGTTCCATTCTGACATGCATGAGATGGCCCTGAGTCAGAATCAACTGTAAGCATTTTGTTTTCTGGTGGAAGAGGCCTTAAGGTAGAACCAGATGGTAGGAACGTAAGAGTCCTTTTAGACTTGTACTAAGTTAAGTATGGTATTTTAAGCTTTTTGGATGGATTCAATCGTCTATTTAATAATAATTACAGAAAATATTACATTTTGGAGTCCTGGTGTGCTACCGGTTAAGCACTGGACTGCTAACTACAAGGTGCGAGGTTCAAACCCACCAGCTGCCCCTTAGAAATCTTTTACAGGGTTGTCATGAGTCAGAACTGACTCAACAGTACTTAACAACAACAGTTACATTTTAGTGACTAATTTCATGTTTCGAGAAACATGTACTAGGGTGAGTAAAAAATTATCCACATTCTGGCTATAGAATTTATTTTAATCAACTTTTAGAAAAGACAAACACATCACAACATAATCTTGTTGATCTTCAATACATTTTGTCCATCTGTCAATAAGCTTTCATATTTCCTTGTTTAAAAAGGTATTAGGCTGAGCTGCAAGCCACAAATGTACCACAGTCTTCACATCTTCATCAGAGGTGAATCTCCGTCCTCAAAAGGTTACTTTCAGGAAATCAAATAAGTGAAGGTCGGATACAGCAAGATCAGGACTATGGGGAGGATTCTTTAAACACCTCAAAAGGAAGTCTTTACAGAGTGCAAACAGTGTGGGCAGAGGTATGTGGACATGCATTGTCATGTAAGATCACAATGCCCTGGGATAGCAGTCTTCTGTTTTTGATCCAAAGTTTAGGCTTCAGCTCTTCAGGAGCATCTCAAGGTAGCAAGCATAGCTGGTTGTTGAAACTTTTCTTGAAATTGTTCCAATACTGGCCCTTTGAGAATCCCAGAAAACTATAAGCATCAATTTTCCAGCTGATGGTTGACTTTAGAACTTTTTCTCAGTCGGCAATTGAGGACGTTTCCATGCCATACTCTGCCATTTATTCTCAGGCTCATAGTGACGAATCCATGTGTCATCTGCAGTAACATTTTAAAAGTTTTATGGTGAATTGAGTGATAGTTTACGTGGGGGAACATCAGTTTTACACTCATCGTTTCATTGCAATGATTACAATCCCCTCTGTGCATCATCATTTAACAGTATTTGCTTCTATTCCCTATGATTTCTATGAGGTAGAGGTTAAAGATGTACCAAATGTTCAACTTTTCCAAGCTGCTGTATCAACCCATCATCCCTAACATCAACATCCCCCTCCCCTCAGTATTCTCCCTCTCATCTATGGGCTCAGGAACTCACTATAACATCTCACGGAGCTCACAAGCCATCAAAGAGATGGGTCACTTAGTTGTGGAGGCAAGTCCCAAATCCATGGGTCTGGTGTCAGTGTGGAGGCTTCTTCTAACTCGTGTGGTTTCAGGGACTGAGAAACCCAAATCAGCAGGTCAGATGACATGCTGCTGGCTCACGAGGCTGTGGACGGATGCTGGCAAATCAAGTCAGATGACAAGCTGCTGGCTCATGATTCAAGAACCAGAGGTCAGATGATGTTGATCCAGACATAGGATCTGGAGCAAGAGAGAAAACTTTGCTAGAGCACTCCTAGATATTGAATACAGACCATACTTCAGGAAATTCCCTTTACTTGAGCAAGGCAGTATAAAGCTGTGAAGGGTGGTAACTTTTTTTTTTTTTTAATAAATGTTTTATTGTGAATTATGTGAAAGTTTACATGGGAGACCATTGATTTTACATTCATTTTATATCGTTACATTGCCAGTTACAATCCCGTCATGCATCATCAACCAACCAAAGGGTATATACCCTGCAAGCCTGCCCCCCTCCCCCCAGTCATCAGCACACAGCCCCTCTCCCTCTCTGGCTCTCAAGTCCCCAG